GCTGACCTGGCTGCTTCTCGCTCTGACTGAGGGCTGCTGGGAGCAGTGGGTGGGGCTTGTTGTATGTGCCCACCCCCTGGGCTCTTTACTGCCGGAGCTCCGCTCCTGTGCACTCCTGTAGGAAATGACCCCTGATTGCAATCAGATGTCATTGGAATCAATGAAAATACGTAGACCAGTTTCTGTGGTCAAAATAGTAGCTTTTTCTACGTGTAATTGCTAAACTTCATTTTCTTGTCCTTCAGGAAAAAAATGTTTGCAAATGGGAAATCAGCAGGGCTTTTTTTCTGGGGGAATATGCCAAAACAGAGTTCCGGAACCTCTTCGACAAAATTCTTTTAAAAATGTTTAAAAGTTCATGAGTTTTCAGTATACAGATTGAAAACTTCATTTCCCTCTTGAGAGTTCTGGCACATCTTTTTTACAAAAACTGGGGGGGAATGGGGGGGACTCAACCCAAGATAAGACTGCAAACCAAAGGGCTAAGCTAACAATGTATATCATAAAAGTACAAATATTTATTAGGGTGTACACATGTTAAAACATATACTGATAAAAATCTTTATCTAAGTATCAGACTTATAAAAACGTATCAAATACTAATACATATGATTGGTAAACACTTTCCTACTGAAGACCAAACGCGTTTCAGCCCCTAAGGGCCTTCCTCAGTGGTCACAATTATCAATATAGTATAGACACACATTCATAGACCTGTATACAAGATCTTTAGTGCTCATATATTTAAACCAGATGTTGTTTCCTTGTATATTTGTAATTGTATTACTGGTATTGGTGGTGGGCCATAGGTATAGCCATATCAATTCCACCAATTATTCTGGTAACAGAGATTTCATAGGTCTGAATGTGTGTCCCTCCATCAAGGTAAAGATTCTGTTACATTTTTTACTCACACACACACACACAGCCCTGAAAATAAGATGCTTTTGGTTCAAATTGAATCTAGAGTTTAACTGTTGTAGGAAAAGATGGACTCACAGCCAGTGTAGCCTTGGCATATGTTGACAAAGATGTTCATCTGGCAACTGTGTAACAGCATTATTCATCAGAACTCTAAAAAAAAGGAACCCCCCCCCCAAAAAAAAACACCAGGATGTTAGTTTATTGGCAGTGAATGTGTGGTTTCATATTTATGATTTCATCACAACAATTTGGGCTCCATTAACTTATTTATGTAAATTGGCCTATTTTAAGTTTTGTTGAAACTCTCTTGTGAGAATCCTTTAAACTCACACGGAACTGTAGATGCTATAGTCCCTGCATGAAGCCTGTTCATTTCACTGTACCACAAGAGTCTGAGATATAAAATTCCCTTTAACCCTTTTTGAACCAAATAAACATCTATCTACCTTAGGGCTGCCAAGCCTAGGCGGGGGATCCGTGCGTCTTCACAGGATCCCTGCCGTGGGAGACAGCGATACGCGTTGCACCACTGTCGCCAGGATGTGACGCTACGCGTCGCTCTGGCAATGGGGCTGTTTGGAGTCCCGTTGCCAGAGCGACATGTAGCATCACATCCTGGTGACGGTGGTGCAACACGTATCACTGTCCCCCCTGGCAGGGATCCTGTGAAGACGCACAGATCCCCCACCGCGGCCTGGCAGCCCTAATCTACCTAGCTATCTAATACTGCTCATATGGTTATCACCTTAAGCAGAAATTAGAACCAAAAAATATTTTAAAAGAGCTTACTCAGTATTATTTCTCTTATATTTGATTATTGCACCTATGAATGTTGCCACCGAGACGATGACACAATCATTTGTATCCAATAGGAGCCATGACACCTGGGCTTGCACATTTAGCAATTCCGTATCTTTAAGTAAAGGGGCAACCAAATAAACATTAAGAAAAGGATGGAAAGACCTGGTTAAATCTGTGGGTGTTTGAATTTCTTGGGAACGCTCCTCAGGCAGTACCAACTGTCAAAATATCTGTGGGCACCATAGCATCTCTCTTACATTTATTTCCATTGCATTGTGGGTGGACACCTTCCTGTCTCTCATGGTAGCAAAGCTACTACCTCTGTGTTTATACAGAAAAGGATAACGACAGTGAAGGATTAATCAAATTTACTATGCCCTTCCAAGTAGCATATGTCTACATCTCTCTGAAGTAAGTTTACTTAAGTCAGGGAGTATCCGTGCAGCATTTAAGTGCCAAAGGATGTGGCACATTGCCAAACTTTCTCTTGAGCAAATTCACTCCACTTAAATCCATGTTGTTGCATCAAATCTTGTAATAATCAATGTGGTTTGCAATGTTTACATCGCAAAGAAAGTTGGACAACATTTCAATAATTTGGTGGTAGTGGTGGTGGAAAGTGCCATCAAGTCACAGCTGATTTATATGGACTCCAAAGAGTTTTCTAGGCAAGAAATGAACAGAGGTGGTTTGCTAATGCCTACCTCTGTGCAGCAGCCCTGGACTCCCTTGGTGGTCTCCCATCCAAGTACTAACTAGAGCTGACCCTGCTTAACTTCCAAGATCTGTTGAGATCAGGCTAGCTTGGAACATCCAAGTCAATAATTTATCCAACAAGCAATACAGAAAAGGAGTCTAAATGATGGCTAAGTTCCTGAACTTCAGCATTGTTGGTTTGTTGCAGCAACAGCTCCCTGTAGCAAACTATGATTTAAAGTGCCTGACATGCCAAGCAATTATTTATGCATGATGAGTCTTTGTCGGTAAAACCCAGCTTAATCAAAAGCATGCAGTAGATCTTTATAATTGGTTTTACAATCTGCGTCTAGCCTGAGGCTTGTTATGAGTATACTTTAGGTTTTCAGATGTTTTATGCCCTGGGTTTTTATATGTGTTTATACTTCTGGGTTTTTTATCAGTTGGGTTTTTAAAGGATGTTAATCTAAATGATTTTATCTTGTTTTCTTTTGTGAGCTGCTTTGTTTAAGTCTCTGAAGAGATAGCTTATAAATGTTTTAAACGATGAAAATAAATAACAGAAGTATAAGGAATTCATACTAGCAACAAGGATACATTGTATCAAAAAGTGCAAAGTGTATTTAGTTTATATGTGAAAGCAAAACTATTAAAACCACATGGAATACAACTACCTTTGTAGAGTGAAATAACCATAGTTTTATTTAGAGTTGTTGAACTTCAGTTCTGCTGTTTATCATTTCAAATGTTCCATAAACTATTTATTTACTTATTTTAGCTGTAGTGGCATTACATTCAGAGTGACTGAAAGCCTCCTCCAACTAATTTCAGTGGCATATCAATTTTTAATGTCTGTTTATTCTCTTACATAGATATTGTCCTATATATCCTAAGTCGATGGCAGATGGAAAACCGCTAAAAGAAGGACAAGTAGTGCAGATAAAATACTTGAATGGTATCTGTACCCATTGTGTTCAATTCAGTACCCAAACTAGCTAAAATACTTGTGTTCTAAACAATGTTTTAAATTAACAGCTTAATACTTACAGGAGAATAAGTGAGTTGAGCCCATAAAAGGTTAGTGGAGAGATGCATTTGATCTTATTGTTTTCAATTACGCTGTAAATCAGGAAAAAATATGCTCCTCAGGATGGAAAATAGTGGCAGTGGAAAACAACATGTACACCATCTTTTAAACTATGTGATATAAATGATTATGCTTATAATACTATAAAATAGAAATAGGAGTGCCTTAATTCCAATTGGGGTCACATGGAGGAGGAGAAGAAGAAGAGGGTAAATGTTTCATACCTGCATAGTTTCTCCCATTAAAACTTATCTCTTCCCTCCCCCAAAAGATAGGTCCAGGACTCCAGGTCCTTCTTCCAAAGGGATAGTGTTGATTACAGGGCTGGAAGAGTTAAACCCTCCTCATATGCAGCTTTGGCCCATACTGGGGCTTTACATGGCTGATAGTCCTACTTTTAAAATACTAGGAACATTCAAACACAGATCTTCAAGTGTTTAATTTAGTCAGTAGTAGGCATACAGAACAGTAATCATGCTGACAATGGATACAAGACTCAGTTAAAAGAGATTTTGTTTTAAAAAAACAGCAAAATGCAACTGTACTAATTTCTAGCTGTATTAAACTTTCTGACCCCATATATCTGTTCATATTTTTAAATTTCAAAATGAAGAACTAGATAGTCATCAACTCATAATAAAAACTGTCATTTCCAAAGAAGTTTGATATAAATTTTTGGAACTATAAAAATGTAAAAATGTTAACAATTTTCTTGTCATTTGCTGCCATGATTTAATTAGCACCTTGACACCATCTCACAGAGCATTACTTCAGAGACAGAATGTATCACAGTTTCCATGACAATACTTCACATGAAAAGGCATACAGAATATGTCAAGCATTTGTTCATCAGAATAATGACAGCTGTGTAATTCATTCAATGCTGTTTGCTTCTAAACTGTCATTATTAATAAAAAGGGAACTTCTTTTAAAATATAAAAGTTGTGACCATGTTATGATTTCTAGTTACTGGTGTTGATTTTGGAGGCCAGAATGGTGAAGACAGACATAACTGTCAAAAATGCCAGTTTGGTGTAGTGGTTAAGTGCGCGGACTCTAATCTGGGAGAACCGGGTTTGATTCCCCACTCCTCCACTTGCACTTGGCTGGATGACCTTGGGCAAGCCATAGTTCTGATAAGAGCTGTTCTTGAAAAAGAGCAGTTTCTGTCAAGAGCTCTCTCAGCCCCACCTACCTCACAGGGTGTCTGTTGTGGGGAGGGGAAGGGAAAGGAGTTTGTAAACTGCTCTGAGACACCTTTGGTTAGTGAAGGGCGGGGTATAAATCCAATCTCTTCTTCTTCTTCTTAAATGTAAGCTTTAGCCTTTCCATTTTTAAAGAAGCAAACATTGAGTGACCCTCCTCCTCCCTCCTATCCAGAAAACTTCCAGAAAAATCACAGTGAGTTATTTGCTATGGTCTTTCTTATTAAGGGCGGTGAACCCTGTGAAAGATATGGGGTGCAAAATTTTCTCCAGACAGTAGAACCTTAGCAGGGGGAGCCTTTTGATGAAAAGCTGCAATCCCTCAGTTACTCTTGACAGCAAAGCACCAAAATTTTCTCCAGACAGTAGAAACTGCAAGAAAGAGAGGAGGACATACTGCAGAGTGTCTCGCTGAAGGGACAACTGTCACCTTAGGGAGGCCATCTGAGTTAGAATCAATATAACTCCCCTCCCTTGGAAAAGCATTTACTTAGGGAGGCCATCCGGCATGATTCATCCCTCTCTTTTGGCAACAATTTGCCAAGGTAATAGATAATATCAAACTGTGGACTGCTTCCTTTAAAGTGTAAAGGAAGCAAACATTTTCACCCCTGTCTGAATGTCTCTTGAAAATAGAGGTCCCTTTTCATGGAAGATGAAAGGGTCCTGAAATCACTCTATTTCAGTCCATCCTATTCCTTTTAAAATTCTGCTTTGTATATAAAATAATTGATGTGAACATTACCGCTGCTTCTATTTCCTGTATCTGTACCCATTTTTGCTTCTTTTGAAACTACTGAGTTACATATGGAAAATCCATGTAACTCATATGTTGACAAAGATGTTATTATCTTCCCCAGATTCCTACCACAGTTAAATTCACCCTAATGTAATACACACTCTGGATTTGAATCAGAACTGAATTGTCAGCTATACTGTGAAAATAAAGAATGTGTCATGCTCTCAGCTCTCTTAATTAAAAAGGATTGTACAGGTCAAAACTATCATGTGTGTCTGGTATTATATGTGGATCTGAGAGTTCCATATTGTGCAGATTATACACTTTAAACCAATATAAAAGCAGTACATACAGCCATTCAAGTTTATGTAGATCTTCAAAGACACAGGGTTTCAGATAGGTTATATTGTTGTGACTTAGGTATCTAAAACAAAAACAACACATCACAATAGGTAATTGTGTTAGAAGGTCATTGACTAGGTAAATTATTTGTTTGTGATTCATTCTTCCTTTAATTTTTTGTTCAAATGTGTTGGGTGCATAATAGCTCTGTGATACAGAAGTTAAGGTGTGAAACAGTGACTTATCTAAAGCCACGCTTAGCATTTAAAATGCCATCCTATCCCATTTACCTCAGTGTACTTAGAAGAGTGTAATTCTGCTTCAGACAGCACCACATTTAAACATGCTCTGTAGCCACCCTTCATCTTCGGCAGTACCCTATGGGCTACAATTTAGATTTTGTTGAGGTAAATTAGCTGTCTGACTTTGGAAACTTCCATTGACAATGGACCAACAATACTTTCTGCTTATGGATGCTAGCTCCTGCACTGTAGCTCCTGCACATTACACTCACAGGATACAGATCTCCCAGTGGTCCCTGGACCAAGAAGCATCTGATTAGCCTCAGCCAGAGCCTTTTTGGCCCTGCCCCCGGCATGGTGGAATGCTCTTCCAGTTGAGATCTGGGCCCTGCAGGATCTTTTATAGTTCCGCAGGGTCTGCAAAGCAGAGCTGTTTCATCAGGCCTATGTGATGGACCCCGTTCTGCTTCTTATTGTGAACCTTCCCCTAGTTTTCGATGTGGTTAAATTATCCTAATTGATCCTACATGGTTATGCCATCTGACTGTTGTTGATTGATGTTTAAATTATTTTATAATTGTTTTATAAATATGTTGTTACCCACCCTGACGCCTGCAGTAGCAAGGGAGGGCAAGTCAGAAATCAAATTAAATAAATAAAAATACTGTTAAAATTATTTAAGTGGGAAGGTATTGATAGGTCTAGTGTATAACTGCAGAGGAGATACCTACAGCTTTGTCAGATTGTACAGTCCTTTGAAAGCATGTCCTGACACAAAATTTATTTTGTTGTCCTGAAGATACCTGTGGAGATAAAAATATTCAAATAAAAATATCGACAATAGCCACGAATGACAGGGAAATCCTAAGCAAAGTTACAGCCTTCTAAATCTTCAGTGGATTTAGAGGGGTGTAGGTCTGCTGAGGACTGCAGTGATTATGTCTCTAATCAAAACAATGCACTTTTCAGATATATGAAATGACCTCCTTGTCCTGTTGAATTCACTGTGCGTAAACTTGTGACCAGAAGAGGGTGCTGCAAAATATAAAAACACCTGCACTAATTGGCATCTAGTGGAAAAGAGAAGGATTCAGGGAATGCATGCTATCTGTATACACTTTAGGAGTATTCAGACAAAGTAGCAATCATTTTTTGGTAATCTGGCATCTTAAAAACTTGTGTTGCATTCTGTAATATCAAATTAAAACTAGCTGGAGTGGGATATCAATCCAATAATACTTTTCATAGGATGCAGTGGGAAATACATTTCAGGGTGTAATTTCCCCCCACAACTGCGATAAAGATTTTCAGCCTCTAAAATAAATAATCCCTGTTCTACAAGCAAATAACATCCTCATTAAACAGTTATGAATTGTTGTATGAGTGGGTCTTCTTTCCCAGGATCTTCCTAGGATCGCTCCTCCACCTTTCCTCACTGCCTTCAACGTCTTCCCCCAGCCTGGATTACTTCTCCTGTTAGAGCCTTGTCAAGGAGAAAAATATACTTTAAACAGCCTAGAACAAAGATGTAAGGTCTGTGCGGGAGGCTCCACCCATCCTGCTTTACCCACGACTGGATGGACATACATAATTTGGTCTCCTACAGTTGCCAACAGCTTGAAGTAAAAGATATAATCTTCCTTTAATAAGTGGGATGTTATTTACCAGATGGTGGTATTTACCTCCATGTCATGAAAAGCTTCAGTTCTCGACATTAAGCCTCTATTAAAGGGACAGGACATTGTTTTCTCCAGGCCTGTTGGCAACCCTGGACCCCAAGGATGAAAATGCTTTTAAATACAACATCTGTAAATTCTTGGATCCTGAAACAGTAGTATTCTCTCACATGGAAAGATAATATGATCCTTCATCATCACTGATGTGTTTTGCATCTCCTAAGTGTGTGTTTGTTTGCTTGGGTGTGTGCGGAAAGTCCACCTTTATTTCTTACTATTTCCAGTCTGCAGGACTGGCAAGTTGTCACTGCTGGGAGCAGAGTGTGGGCCACTGCTTCTCCTTCCCCTGATCTCCGTGATGCTGACTACCTTCCATTATGTATAAGCAAAACTTTTGTCTCTTTTCCTGCTAAGGGGGGGAAGGAATATATTCTGAGGATAAACTGTTGTTTGTCTCCAGACTCATGTTACGGTATGTACAAGCAATGATTTTGTCCCAGACTAGCAGGTGACAGATCCAGCCCCAGAGAATAAACATTAACTGAGAAGATTCTATTTGGTGGGAGGATAAGCTTTCTGGTCAAATGTTATCTCAAAGGTGCTGAGTCATTCTTTCCCCTTACTGCCCCTCTTTGTGCTGGGGGGAGGGGAATGAAATGGGATATCAAGGCACCAGAATAAACATTCACATCACAATATTTCAAATAACTCCCAAATATCAGAAATAATTTATCTGGATTTAGAGCATTTATGATATTTAACAATGGATGTGGTTCAATTGGATTTTCAATTTCCGAATTTCCAATTTCCTTTGAAGAGTGTAATCTGAGTAGGATTGCATCATATAGGAAACTTCCATGTCCAGAGGCAGTAAACCGCTTCCTACCAGAATTAGGTGGTGACATCTGGGCTTCTATGCTCTGTTTACTGCTGAACTACATAAACCACTGGCCTGATTCAGCAAACCACCTCTCATGTTCTTAGGATCTTAAAAGTAAAAAACCAAAACAAAAAACCACTTAACCATCTGTAGATTTCACGGATGTTTTTCCTAGATGTAATTGGTCCCCCCCCCCTTGTTGTCTTGTTCTATTTGTCTATTAATTGTATTTTATTTTTCCCTTTGTCTAAGGAGTTCAGTATGGCATATATTTTATCTTCACAACAATCCTGTGATGTAAAGTAGGACAGAATGAGCCGTCTAAAATCACCCAATGATCATGGCTGAGTGAGGATTAGCATACAAGTCTCCCCAGTCTGCTCTGTGTACCATGCTGTTCTGCTTCCTGACAGTGTGATAGATATTTTACTAGTCATAAAAGTATCTGAATGAGAAATGTTGGAAGAAATATGAGGCTACAAATACAATAGGTTAAAAGCAATATAACAGGCTTATAGAGTTTTTGGGAAACTTTTGGCTCCAGATCTTGACAAATACATCCTGGCCATTTCAGCTATGATTACATATAGGTGGAACCTTAGGATTAGTATGAGTTCACACTATCAGTTCAAGAGACAGCAAACACCTGATAGAATTAGCACCTCTCAGTTTGCCTCCACTGTCAGGCAATTCTCCAGCAGAACACAGGATAATATGTGCCAATTGAATCAGACGTTTAATTAATCAAACCATAGTTCCAGTTATGCAAAAAACATGGTATATGATTTTTTCTTAATCACTATGCCACAAAACAATGACATTGCAACAGTTTGAAGTTAAAACAGTGTCTTATTTATTGACTTACAATTTTTTAAGATCCTGATATTTCTTGAAACTGTTGTCAGCAAGCTTTTTCAGAAGATTCCTTTTCAGGGATCTGTAATAAACAAGTTTACTGGATAAACTTATTCAGCAAGCCACTGCCCGATATAACAGACTTCTTTCACTGCAATGGTAACAAGTACAGATGATACACTTCTAAACATTAAATTATTCTATGAAGTTTATTTAATGTGGGTATCCATGTCAGGCCCTGACCTGGATGGCCCAGGCTAGCCCAGTCTAATCTTGGAATGAGATCTTGGAATGAGATCTTGGCAGGGTTGGCCACCAAGGAAATCCACTGCTGCTATGCAGAGTCAGGCAATGGCAAACCACTTTTGTTTGTCTCTTGCCTTGAAAACCTTATATGGTTGCCATCAGTCCACCGCCATATATATAAGAGTAACCAGCCCTTTTTTTTACTGCCCCTATTCCTGTTTACAGAACTGCAGCTGGGTATGCACAAATTAAGTAGGAAAATCCCTCCATCACTTTTTTCGCCCAGACAGGAGAAGTTTCTCCTGCTAAATTTCTGCATGTTGGACTGCAAGAGGTATACAAGAGGAAACACTACGAAAGCTGGCTGACTTTGTGATCATGTTCATGTCAATTCATTATTTGTTTATTCAACTGCTTGTTTCACACACACACCCCCGATACAATTCCAGCCATGCCTCACAACTAGCATTACCCATGATGCCTTGCTTGACAGGAGAGAATATAGGCAGCACTACAGAGGGCAAAAGTATCAGCCTTTTCTCTCCCTCCCCCTCCAAGCTAGTATTTGTCCATCCTATCCTTTTCAGTGATGGGTGTGTACAGAAAAAGTCTTTTCTAAAATTCTTCCTGCCTGGGCCAGATGGCCTTAGCCGGTGACACTGCAGTGTGATTTGTCTCACCTGTGCAGATGGCCTGCCAGATGGCCAGGCCTCTTATCCATATACAAGACACTTTGACACCTTTGCCAGGATAGAGCGACATGCAGGCGCCTTCCCAAGCATGGGAAGAGCTATGCCCAGTACATTAGCACATCAAAAACATTCCCTGACATGACACATAGACACTTGAAGAGGCTGGAGTGGGAGTAACAGAACTGCAGACAGGATGCCCAACTCCTAGCCAATCAAAATATACCTTGCCTGACAACGCATGGTAACCAGAGATTGGACACGCCTCCCCACTCTCTCACTATTGGGTAAATGGCCATACCTGGTGGTGACAGAAGGGGGGTATAACTGCAATAATCCATATGGGAAAAAGAAGTTTCTCATTGGAAACAAAGAGTTCTTTTGGACTGCCTGCGTGCTTGTCAACTGATTGCTGTTAACATGGAGTGAGACTACTAGGCAGCCAAGCTGGACTTAGCTGCCCACAGCACCATTGGGTTCCTTTTCAAGATTCCCTGGTGAGACCTTGGACTATTTGCACACAAGCCTGGTAACTATGGAATGCCTCTATTGTGTAGTTAGAGCTTGTAGTAGAGATGAGACTATATAGATTTTTCTCTGTTTTTTTGCTTTTTCATATCCCTCTGGTTTTTATAGGTTTATTAGGGATCCAATGTATTATTTGAATATAATAAAGGCCTAGTATATAGAAGGCCTCTCTTCTTTGTGGGTCAAGGGGGATTTTTCCTAGTTGCTGTTAACAGACAAGACACAGGAGACATTCTTTTGGCACAAAAGTAAATATACGGTTCATGGTTCTAATTGTTTACGGTTATAACTGCATAGTGTCTGGGTCACAATGGATCTTTTCCTGGCTATTAGAGAACAACACTTTTGTTTGGGTAAGAACAAGCCTTGGCCGATATGACTTAGGTTATGTCAAGTAAATACGTGACGCTATTGCATAGGCACACCTTTCTTACATTTGACCAATAAGGGAATTTTGATGTAAATGTTGTTTAAGTTTCTGTAACCAATTATGCCCTTTTGTATATTATTCCCATGATGATGATATGATGATGTCATTTTAAGTATTTAACTTCATGTATTTCCTGGTTGGGCTCAGAAAGCAGTCAGTTTTGATGGGTCTTTTGGCCTAACTGTTTTCCGTATTTCATTGCAATAAAATACAAGAACTTCCTCCTCATTTTGACTTCAGTCTTCTATTTTTGACTGGATATTAATTTATACTACAAGCTGAACAAGTTATAGATATCATTTGTTTTCTTATCTTTTGCTAGTCTCATGTTATATGCATGCTTGTGCACTGTATAAAGATAATATATAATCAATATTATCTGGACTTGTTTCCTCTGTTGCAACCTGATTTCTAAGACTGAATCTTGTGTCTAAGCCGTTCGCCTAAGGCGGCTACCATTGTGTTAATTAATTGTTTGCAGCCCTAGTACAGAGCTGGTAAAGAGCTAAGTCCGATAAATTAGGCAGGAGGTGGGATCTCTGCTCCTGACCTTAGTGGGGACTTTTTGTGAGAGATCCTGGTGGCAGTAACTACTGGTAAAGCCTGGAGAGTGTTGCTGAATGCTTGGTTTAACTCCCATCCCTGGACTGGGGTGAGAGAGAAACCTTGACAAGATGTTTTAAAATATTTTACAACTTTATTTCATTTCATTTAAAAACTAAATGAGAATGGTTCTCTGAGAACTGTATTCTACTATATGCCCACTTCAGATACTATTTTAAATCAATGGAATCACCCCAGAGAAGACGAAAAGAAAACATTTACCTCATATTTTGGTTAAAACATTTTTAGCTAATCCCCTTTCCAAACCTCTTTCCATCTATTACAACAGAAAATACAATAGAAATTGCAATACAGCTATTGAAAGACATTGAAAAGAGTCACCTTTTTAGATCTGAGTATGACTTAATATTATCAGCTTCCTGCAAGGCATCAATGGAATAAATGGGGTCAGCACCAGTGTTCCCTCTAAGCTGAGTTAGTGTGAGCTAGCTCACAGTTTTTTAGCCTCCAGCTCACACCTTTTTGTCTTAGCTCAGGAAGGATGGCTCCAGAGCAAACCAATTTATGCAGCAGCCAAATCGCTCTCTCACAACTTTAATGCCAGTAGCTCACAAAGTAGAATTTCTGCTCACAAGACTCCACAGCTTAGAGGGAACGTTGGCACCACTGATGATTTCCAATTCTAGGGTTACCATATTTTGAAAAGCAAGAAAGAGGATATATTTTCTGACTGATTACTTCAAACAAGTGATCACCATGACAAGTCTCATTTTAAATACCCCTACTATTTAAGCTGTGATAATAGCTACTAACTAGGAATATTCATAACCTTCAAACCACAAAAGAGGACATTTTCATCAGTTTATAAAAAACATCCCAAAAGAGGATGGACACCAAAAAAGAGGACATCTGGTAACCTTAACAATTCACTTTTTAAGATGTTCTTTATGCTCTGTTTTTCCTGAAGCAAAGTATGTCTTTAATTTCTCTGCACTTAACCAACATGAACCCTAGAGGGCCTCATAATATAAAAAATTGTTTGGGCAAAGAAGTCAGGAATGGAGTTTCTCCAAGTATCTATTAATCACACTGTATGATTGTAACAAATCTCCCACAATATATCCTGCATTATGAGAAAAGGAGCATAAGCAAATGAAATGTAGCTTCTTAAAAACAGCACAATGCTAAACAGAGTTAAACCTTTCTAAATCCATTGAAGGCAATTGGGATAGCAGGGTGTAACTGTTTAGGATTGCACTGTTATTGTACCACATTTGCAGAATAAAAACTTGTGGTTGTACAGATTTTTTTTTAAAAAAAAATTCCTGGGTTCTTTAAAGTGTATATTTTCTAGGGAGTATGTCTTAAACGATGATGCTGATGGTGAAGATGATTTGTTTGTTTATTTAAAACATTTATTTCTTTACAGAGCTCACGGAAGCTTACAAGATAGCTAAAATACATCAAATAACCTACATAAAAAAGAATTCAGGACTGTGGCCCTAAATGAAACCATCTTCAACTGCCTCCTAAAGTGAGGGGACACCTCGCTGGGGAGGTTGTTCCATAGTCATGGGGCTGCCACTGAAAAGGCCCTCTCTCATGTACCCACCAAACAAGCTCCTTTGATTGACGGGACAGTCAGGAGGGCCTTTCCTTGTGGTTTTAATTCCCGAGCAGGAACATATGGGATAAGATGGCCCTTCAGATACCCTGGTCCCAAGCCATGTAGGGCTTTAATGGTAAAAAACAACACCCTAAATTGGGCTCGGGAGCAGATTGGTAGCCAGTGTAATTGCTGTAGTATCAGGGTCACATGCTCCTGATAGCTGCCCCTGACTAGCAGTCTAGCCACAGCCTCCAAAGACAGAAACTCTACCCCAAACAGCCATGTTCCCATGTGATGTCTCCGATGCAATGATGTCACCCAGAAATGATGTCATCGCATTGGAGCATGGCGTGGGTGCTCTGGTTTGAGGGCAAAACTCTATGGTAAATTTGGCCTAAAACCATATAGTCTTGCCCTCCAACCAGAGACGTGATCATGTTGGGGATGTCCTGGAATGCCTCCCAAATCCCTCTACCAGTGTGGCAAGGGGACCTGCAAACCTAACAAAGACTCTTCAAGGGTATCCCTAAGTAGCTTCTGTTAGCATACGTAGTAAAAATGACAGGTGCTGGCAAAATTGTGATCACAATGACTTCAGCACCGTGGTTTCAGCACATACAAGCTATGAAGAAAGGAGCAAGTTCAACATTTGTCTGCACATCTGAATTTACTGAAAAGGCTGCATGGAGTATGATTCGGTTTGTGAAGGCCTACTTCTGAACGATGGCAAACATGTTTCTGGAAGGGCTGGGAGCACCACCTCACAGCTGGTGCTCAGCAGTTGTCTATGGGGGTAACCTTTGAAATACCTTTTGCCATTTCTGCCTCATCTAACAACCTCAAAAAAAAATCTAAAAATTACATTATAAATGACCTTGGTTGCAATGTGCACATTGATTAATGTTTCGCCCTTTTCCAAAATAACACATGATAGTCTACTGTGTGCAGTGAATAAGAAGTCTCTGGTGACAGCAGCCTTGACTTACTGGGCTTTGCCAGCTTTTTCACCCAGTTCCCTTTCTTGTTAACTTCCCCACCCCATGTGGCTTTTGTCTCATGATCTCCGGCATAGCCTTTTTGGTGGACAGCAGGCCCCCTGGAAAAGCAGGTGGGTTCCAGCCCCCTATTCATGTCCACTTTCGGGTTGGTTTCAAGGATGCTAACAGGAGCTACTTTAAGAGAGAGGAGCACTTTAACACCAAGCTGGGACTTGTATCTCATCCAGCCTGGACTGAGCAACTATCATATGGTGTGAAGGTAAAAAGGGCCTTGGGCAAATGATTGGGGGGCTACATACCCACTGGCTTAGATGTGGTGGCCTGCAGGAAAGAGATTCAAAACTACAACCAGAAAGTGCTTCTTCTTTACTTACATCATCGTGACATTTGAAGAAACTGAAGGGATTACACTCAAATTGGCATCATCACAGTCAAGCTCTAGCCCTCGGCACAAACATTCTCTTGGCACAGAATCAACTACTGGATAAAGAGAATATCACAGATGTAGCAGATATTGGAGTGATAATGTGGAGAGAGAAGAACAATGTATACAAGAAAAGCATCAATTAGAATAAAGTCATAGTTTATAATAAAGCCATACTTCATTACACAGTAAGATATCTACCATAATGGAAACATATCTGTACCTTGTTCACCATCATGCAGAACTGTAACTGAAGCAGACATGGCTCATGTGATTTTCCATAATCTTTGCCCATCCTTTCTGTACAATATATGTCATATTTTCTATCCTGCCCCTCTTTCAAGGAGCTCAGCACAGCATACATGTTCCCCTCTCTTATCTAGATAACATCCCTGTGTTTTAAGAAAAAATGCTGACTAAATACAGTTAAAAATTATTTATGTGAAGAATGTTTAGCTATCAGCTTCTGCCAGGAAAACCTAGTTCAGCCTTTCATAGGCCCTGTTCTCATGAGGGGTTTTGGGTCGGGAGTGGGCCGGATCGGGGACGCAGCAAACGGGCGCGATCCCACCGCAACATCTGGGAAGTGTTGTGGGCCCGTTCCCGATCCGGCCCTTCCCCCGACAGCCCCGCAGCAAACATGAACCACCTACCTAGGTGGTTGATCCGGTAGGTCCGCATCACGACTGGCCGTGGGATCGCCAGCGCGTCTTGCCGCCGGTGCATCCCCGGCCCCCGGCCGAACTGCACATGCTCACACATGCGCAGTTCGGCAGCCTCCCCCTCCCACTCGTCTCTTCCTCCCCGGCATCTGATCATGCCGGGGAGCAAAGGTGGGATCCCATGGGATCCCGCCCGCAGCGTCTCTATTTTGGTGCGGCTCTAATTAGCCGCACTTTGACCGGTGTTTTCCCTGCCGTGTGGCGGGGACCCTAAAGGAGGTGTTTAGGCTTAAAGCTCTGCTTAAAGATATAGTCAAGGCTATGAAATGAGACAGGAGCTGAAATTTAGTTACTTCATTTCTACCCTGTCTTTCTCTCCACTGGAGACCCAGAGCAGTTTATATAGTTCTCCTCTTCTCTGTTGTATCCCCACAACACCCCTATGAGGCAGGAGAGGCTGAGACTGGCCCAGCAAGCTTCCCTGGCAGACTGGGGATTCAAGCCTCAGTCACAGAGATCCTAGTTCAACAGTCTAACTACCTTATTGATACTTCTGAGGAATATTTACCACAGAGTTATTCTAAGGCAATATTTGAAGGGCTATGTGTGAGACCACTGTGGAATGTGAATGTGAACACTGTTGGATGTTTTCCTCAGGCTCTGCATTGGACCTTACCCTATCTTTAGCACAACCACTTGGGAAATAACCTACTAGCTGTAACAAAATTGTTTTCTAATGTAAACTTATTTTAAAGGGTTGGTTGTATGGGGCAGTGGGTAATTGAGATAGTAGGGAAAAGAGAGAGCCCATAGACCTAGGGCTGTCAACCCCACGTTGGAAAATCCCTGGAGATTTGGGTCTGGTGGAATCTGAGGAAGGCAGAGTTTGGGGAGGGATGTCAGCAGGGTATAATACTGTGCAGTCCACCCTCCAAAGCAGCCATTTTCTCCAGGGGAACTGATCTATGTGGTCTGGAACTTAGTTGTAATTCTGGAAGATCTCCAGCTTCCACCTGGAGGTTGGCAACCTACAGAGAACCAGAATCATTTCCTGGCTTCTTCAAGGAATGTTGTGGGTGAGAAGGGGCTATTCAGCTGAAGCCTTGCAAGCTCTAAGTAGGCAGTGTGGGATAGCCTCTACTTCCTCCTGCTGAGAAAGTCCCCTCCACTAGTCTATGGGGGTAACTTCAAATGTCCATTTTGCTGCGCCCACACATCATCAGAGACACAGCTATTTCTGCACTAGAGTTATCATTTGCCACTGGATTTTGTTATGTGGACGTCAAACCAATCTAGTTCCGAATAATCACTAGAGTGCAACAATAGCTGTACCCAGTGATTTTTGGGTGCAATCTTTCTGTCACGGTATCTGCTGAAAAACTCACTATATGACCATTCTAACTCTGCAGGCAGCCTGCACACAATCATATACCAAAATGAACATATCCTTGTCCTCCACTTCCCCAGATTTCTAATTCCTCCACCCCTGAGCCACTACATTTCAAACAATTGTTAGAAATTATTGTGTACCCAATACCAGGTAATTCAGTGACTGCCACAACAAGATAGATCCAGGTGGTCAGGCATGTTAGTCTGAAGCAGCAGAACAAATTCGGAGTCCAATGGCACCTTTAAAACCAACAAATGTTTATTTAAGGTCACATAAAGCTCATACTTTGAATAAACCTTTGTTGGTCTTAAAGGTGCCATTGGACTCTAAATTTGTTCTACTGCCAGAACAAGAGAAAATCTGTGTTTTGGGGAAGAGTGGCTAACCTGGGTTCAAATTCACTGCCCGTATTCCCTTACGGAGACCCATGGTTCACTTGAACAATATGGTTTAAATTTATTTTTAGCTGCAGACTGCTTCTAAAATGGAATCGCACAGCTGTACAGAAATTATATTTCATTCGTTGTCACTCTGCATTGGAATGGAAAAGCCGCACCTGCTCCTGGAGGGGAGGTACATTTCTCTGCATCTTTTGTATTTAAACATTATGTAGTTAGGCAAATGATCATTTGTGCTACTTACAGCATTCATAGGTTTTCACTTCAAAGGCATATTGCGACTTCCTTTCATTGTAAATTGCAAAATATTTATCTAGCTGCTCAGACCATCCGTTGTTATCACCTAATCACAATTATATGAAAGAAATGTTAAAATCATTATTATTTTGTATTTGTAAAAGCATCTAAGGCATACTAGATGTCACAAAAAAGTAAAAACAAATACTGCCTTCCAAGCACAGGGGATTAACAAAAAGGCTATTCCAAAACAACAGGGCACAAAGAGAAAATTAAATGGACGAAGAATCCTCATGATAAGCACCAGTATGTGCATCTCAGAGTGCACAAAGGAATTGGGGCAGTGGCTGCAAACACAGAAATGTCTTCACATTAAAAACAAACATGTATGTGTGTGTGGGAGGTTAACCCCTTTCCCTTACACTATATCCCCATTACAAGACAGCCCCCGTGGCTATTAGCCTATAGGACCTCCAGCTGCTGTGAGCATGATAGTGAAAAGGGACAGGAAGAATCCTCATGATAAGCACCAGTATGTGCATGTCAGAGTGCACAAAGGAATTGGTGCAGTGGCTGAAAACACAGAAATGTCTTCACATTAAAAGCAAACATGTATGTGTGTATGGGAGGTTAACCCTTTCCCTTACACTATATCCCCATTACAAGACAGCCCCTGTGGCTATTAGCCTATAAGACCTCCAGCTGCTGTGAGCATGATAGTGAAGAGGGACAGGAAGTCTCCCATTCATGGGTGAAGAAGAGAGTCTGAGCTTAAACAAAACCAGTCTATGGGCAAAGGAAGCTAAATCTGTTTCTCCCATGTCTCAGGGCCATGAACACATGAAGCTGTCTTCTAGAGAGTCAAGTCAGTACTGTCTACTCTGAATGGAGGCAGTTCTCCAGGGTCCCAGGCTGAGGTCTTTCTGATCATTAACTACCTAGTCTTCTTTTAACGGGAGATGCTGGAGACCTTCTGGGTGCAAAGCAGATGAGCTTCTACTAAGCCACAACCCCTCCTCTAACTGCCTATTACGATTTTTGACATGTTGTGTCGGGGTTCCTCCAACCTAAGTTGTGAGCAATTAATCACACATCACACCAATGGGGACTAATTTCTGAAGCTTGTGGGGCCCTCATTCAGATTGGGACCATGGGGTGGGAGGAGATGGGGCTTCAGCACTCCCCCTCCCACATCAGTCTCCCAAGTGGAAATGGTCCCAGAAGAGCTCCTGTTGGGGAGCTGCACATGTATCGATGGGCTACACATGAAGCCTCCCAATGGGACAAATACTGTCCCCAATTCAGTTTCAGCCTGGGAAAACAATGAGAAACTTAAGATCCTTCTCCCCTCACTCCATAGTCCTGATCCAAATTGGGGCTCCAAAAGCTTGGGAAATTAGCTCCCACTGTTTTAATGGCTCTTTCAAAGAAAACAGGAGCCCAGTTTTACTGAGTCAAGCTTTGTTGCAAGCAGTTGTGGAAAAAGCTGGCAACAACTTTAACTCCTCTTAGTTTTTTGACCTTTGACCAGAAGTTGCATTTCCAGTTCCTTACTTACTAGATAACAGTCTTTATTGCAGCTCGCTTGGCTGGTCAGGATAACTTTCTGTTCAAACGCCATCAGGATGAAGTTTTACTGACTGTTTTAAACATGTTATAAGTCACGTCAGGTGAACCCGAACACAGCATGTCAAATATTATGACGTGTAGCTTGGCTCTGTGATGTGTAGTTTGGTGCTCAAAACATTTTTCTCCATGTCTGGCTGACTTCCAGTTTGTGTCTCCATAGTATGTAGTAAAATTTCCCCATGTCCTGATGTCATCACGTTGTATGTATGTCCCTGTTTCATGTCAACAGCTACTGCTGCAGGAGCAGGGGAATGCAAAATATGATGAAGTTTTATGACACATTACAGACGGATGGAGTGGGGGCAAGTGGCAGCCTAATTATCCTAAGTGTTTAGTTCTGCCTTAAGATGAGACATAGGAGTAGGGATGGGCACAGACTGAAAAAAGGCAGTTCAGTTCAGGGTTTGTAGCAGTCCATGGGCTGAATCCCAAACCGAACCTGCCTCACATGGACCAAACCGGTCCAGCAAGCTCAGGACATGGCAGAACGGGAGGGGGGGAATCTCCTGAAAAGAGACCTCCCTTCCCCCTTTGTCTGGCTGTGGTGAGCCACGGCCAGGAGAAAAGGACAGAGGATTGTGGGAAAGGGGCTTCCCTCCTCCGCTTCTCCTGGCTGTGGTGAGCTGTGGCCAGGAGAAGGGGGGATCACCCAGAAAGGAGCTTCCCTTCCCCCCTTCTCCTGGCTGTGGTGAGCCCTGTCCAGGAGAAAGGGGGGATCACCCAGAAAGGATCTTCATTTGACCCTCCGGTTTTGTTCCCCTCTTCAAAACAGCAGGGAGCAAAACTAAAACACTGAATAGCTGGAAGCCATTTAAACCTAACAGCTGAATTGCAGACCCTGCTGCTCAGCTGTTAGGTTTAAATGGCTGCCACCCATTTAACCCTTCAGTTTTGCTCCCCTCTGCTTCGAGGGGTGGAGCAAAACCAGAAGGTTAAATATGGGAGTGAAATATGGGGGCATTTCACCCCATCCTTTCTGCTGGCCCAGCTATCTCAGGCTCCTTCCCACAGCCCATTTAAAGGGGTGGCACAAGGGAGCCTAAGACAGCTGAGCCCACAGAGAGAAAAGTTTGGTAAATGTTGAGGGAGTGCATGTTCCTCAAACGTCACTTCCTGAGCCCCAAACGGGCCCAAGTTTGGCCCGAATTTTAGCTCGTGAGCCAGTTTATGCCCATCCCAACATAGGAGTTTTGCTGCAAAACACGTCTACATTAACATAATGAAACACTCTGTTTCCAAATCCACATTTCTCTTTTGGAATAAATGAACAGACTGGTTGACATTGTGATAATAGAGGAAATACATTTAGTAATTTATTCAAAAAGTATCCATTAGGAATCATTTTTATTTATTATCTCAAATTACATCAGCAAATTTAGTTATTCAGATGTGGATTTACTATTGATTGACACCTTTACATCTGGTTAAATTTTTTCTTAGAGGAATCAATTCATATATTTTACTTTCTCTTGTTCTAGCTCTGTTCCATGACACCAGTAAGCTGAAGGCAAGAGTGTGCAGCCTGCCAAGGCTTCTCTGCCTCTCAGCCAAGAAACAATTCTGCCGAATTACAATTGGATAGAAGCCAGGTGTTTTATCACTCTTCCTAAAGAGTTTATGTCCAGTGTGCAATTCAAACAGCCAAGGGAATCTCTCCTTATATATAATTGAGTAGTGGTCCCACAACATTCTATGCACTCCAAAATCAGTTGGCTCCCTGATGTGTCAATCACAAGGTGTCTCTATCCACTGGCTGTGTTGCCTGAGTTCTCTCCCACCCACTGCAGCCTAGGCCACTCTTCTCTGATTGGGCCAGTGTTTCAAGGTTATTTGCATATGGAAGCTGACTGGACTTTACTCCATTCCACACCTCAAACTCCCTTCCCCTCACGAGACAGTTGGAACTGTCAGTTGCATATGGGACCTGCTGTATTCTGAGGTAAAATATGTCCTCACTCACAACACATCACATCCCCTTCAAAAGAAACAAACCCAATAACACAGTCATGCCACACCACAAAAAAGACAGATTACACCACAAGCAGAATAGCACAAGGCAAAAAATGATAGGAAAAGATGCCAGCAGTCACCCCGTTACTGCCACAGATATCTGGCAGTCAGTGCTTCAGAGCACGGTGGGGGGGAAATGGAAAGCTGATCAATGAGGGGGGAATGTAGGTTGATCCTTGGCTGGGAAGTAGATAGGGTTGCCAACTCCAGATGGGAAAATCCTGGAGATTTGAGAGTTGGAGCCTGGAGAGGGTGACGTTTGAGGAGAAGTGGGGCCTCAGACAGGCAAAATGCAATAGACTCTTCCCTCCAAACCAGCAATTCCGTAATGGGGAACCACTGTCGCCAATCTCCAGGTAGGGACTGGAGATCACTCACAATGCTCTCCAGATGGCATTGATCCATTCCCCTGGAGAAAATGGTGGACTCTGTGTCCTTATACCCTGCTTAGGTTGCCATGGCAAATTTATTCTGAGTGCCCATGGCCTTGGCACTCTCCTAGAGCCTCTTTCTAGTGCTCATTGTATTTATTTCCACAATGGGCCTTATTCCTAGTATATAATAAGGGAATTGGAAGTGGGAGCTAGATAAAAGTGTAGGCAAGCTAGAAACCCCCCAAGGACTGGTTTGTGCTGCTGAGCTGCCAGTTGCCAATTCCTAATTTATAGTTAGCTTATGTTTTGGACAGTTCTCTTTTATAGAAATCACAGAAGTCAAATAGCAAACAATCACAGATTCTTTTTAATTAAATGTTCAGCTTTCCATGGAACATGGCCCTTTGTTCTTTTGCAGATAAAATTAATCTGGTAGCTAGATCCATGTAACAGTCAGACATAAGTTGTGAGTAAATTTCTGCATGCATGGTGTCAAATTTGGACTAGACTGTAGTGTGTGTGGAGAAGGAGCTCTAGCCTTCCCCCTCACTATTCTGCCAACCTGATATAGCGTTGCCAGCTGTGGGTTGGGAAATGCCTGGAAATTTGGGGGAGGGGTTGAAGCCTGGGGGAGATGGGTTTTGGGGAGAGGAGAGACCTTGGCAGGGTATATCGTCATAGAGTTCCCCCCACCAAAGCTGTCATTGTCTCCAAGGGAGCCAGGGTTCCAGCAAAGCAGAGGGGGGGGGGGGGGGGGAGAGTGCGCTGTCTGAAATGCAATCTTTCCAGTGAACATGTACAAGTCTTGGGAGAACTTGCTGCCATAATCGTGCTCCTCCTAATGTATGTAAAGGTTGGGATTCAATGCAAGACTACCTCTCAATAAAGAAGAATGAGGCTGAAATTATTGGTTCCATTTATTGGATTATCTACTTGCAAAATAGGTCCAGAGTACAGCTAAAGATACCCAGTGTGATTTTTTTGTCCTGACTAGAGAAAAATTCTGTATGGTTATTGTTTACCATTCCAGTCACATAAATATGCATGCGTTCCAGAAACAAGGTTATAAATGTTTATAACCCTGAGCCATCTGCAATGCTTCTTTTAAATGCTTTCAGTATCCTAAAAAAAGATGAACAAACTAAACTCTCAGAAAACTGCAACTCTTTAAAATGCATTACAGCTGATACTACATTCCCTTTAATATGACGCAGGACATTATCTTCCTTATAATTAGGTTTTTAAATATGTTTGGATTGACACGTTGCCTTTTTTTAGATGTGTTCACGTAACCCTATATTTAATTATGGATATCATTGCACTGGGTTATTCGAACACCATGTACTTCTGAAAGGTTTTCAACATGTGGCAACTGTAAGCATCAGTGGCCATAGTTCTCTACTGACTTATTCATGAGTGAGTACCAGAGAAATCAATGCAACTTTATGTATATTTTATTAGCAAATATCATGTCCCCTGTTTCTGACACGACATCATTTTATGTTTTATTTATTTAAAATATGTATACCCTGCCTTGTCTCCATAAACTCAAGGCAGCTAACAGAACAGCAAAAGGTGCAAGGACACAAATATTGTGAGAATTCGGTAACAAGTTAAAAACCAATATACATAGTTAAAAACACAGCCAAAGATAGTTTACCCTTCATCAAATGCCCTCTTGATCAACATAGTCTTACATGCCTTCCTGAACTTGGCAAGTTGAGAGGCCACTCCAGAGGAATGAACCTACAACAGAGAATGTCCATGACCTAACTAATGCCAAATGGACCATCCTAGATGAGGTCGGGAAAGGCTGTAGTAGGAGCATGACTTTGCACATAGACATACATTGGGATATGTGGTTCAAGAGATTTGAGGGGCACAGGCCATGAAGGGCTGTAAAGGTGAGAAGCAACAAACTGAATTGGGCTCAGAGATAGGCACCCAGTGCAGACACAGCAGTATATATTTACAATAAGATAGGTATATCCATAAGTAGGCTTATAGTTTCCATTAGAGTCATAGCTCCTATTCCATTATGGTGAATAGTTTTGTTACTGTCTTTAGGGAACAATCCTAAGCAGGTCTAGTAAAGTAAAGGTAAAGGTTTCCCTTGCTCAAAAGCCAGTCGAATCTGACTCTAGGGATGCGGTGCTCATCTCCATTTCCAAGCCAAAGAGCCAGCGCTGTCCAAAGACATTTCTGTGATCAGGTGGCCGGCATGACTAGATGCCGAGGTACACGGAACACTGTTACCTTCCCACCAAAGTGGTACCTATTTATCTACTTGCAATTTCTTGCTTTCGAACTGCTAGGTTGGCAGGAGCTGGGGCCAGAGACGGGAGCTCACACCATCATGAGGCACTTGGGTCTCGAACTGCTGAACTACTGACCTCTGGTCTGCAGTTCAGCATCTTAACCACTTGAGCCACCGCAGCCCTCTAAGCAGGTCTACTTGGGATTAAATCCCACTGTAATCAGTAAGGATAATTCCCTGGAAAGTAAGGCTTCAGTCCTAAAAAGACTTACAATGGCATAACTCTGCTCAGAATAGCATTATAAGTTGCCTGTATAACATATGATACTACTAAATAAAGATAAAAGGTATAAAATAAGTAAAAACAGTTTTCTTCTAAGCAAGAAACTGATGAACTGAACTACTAATCACACACCATCCAAAAATTGCCTCTCAAAATGGCTCTTATAAAACATGAATTATGATGCAGTGCCGAGGGCTTTGTTAACATACCACAGTTTTCTTCATCAGCTTGATTCCCACAGTCATCTTGCCCATTGCAGTGGAGAAACTGAGGCAAACACTTTGTGCTGTTCCCACAAGGGAAATAGCCAAGAGGACATGTCATACCATATCCAAAATCGGGGCTTCTAGAAGTAGCATGAACAACTAAAGAAACAGATTAAGGAGGGGAAGGGGAAGAGATACTATGCATTATTTAAAGAAAGATTTTCAACATTTATGTTTCTTTATTGAATTGTTCAAATAATTGAATTTGAGTCATACTACCACTCTCGTGTTTTAAGTTAATCTGTTGTATTAATTTCCTGTACAGAATTTGCAGTGATTTGCCCTCCTGTGCCATTCCAAGCAAGTTTAGAAGTACAACTAAATTCTCTCAGAAACTAAAATTTAAGTATCCCTTGAAAGACTTGCTGCCTTGACAGAAGCGTACAGGCATAGGATTATGATTTCTTGAAATACCCCCTTTTGTAAGTTCAGAAACAGTAGAATTTGTCTCCTTTAAGTAACTGCTTCAAGTAGCTGAACCCATGTTTTGATTAAGTAAATGATTATGTAGAATCTTATAGTCTGTCCTTGATTTTACTGACCATATGAAACCTTTGTGGGTAAATTGTGGGGCACACACCTGGCTGTCTCTAATTTAGTTTGTTGATTTGCACCTGTAACTGGTAACCTAGCAAACATAATTTACCCTAATTCACCTCCTTTCACACCTACACTATGTTGCTGGGACAGCTCCCCCCCCCAATAGAAATCATTTGGATATTAACACCAGTAGCACAACCATACAGTTATCATCCATGTTTTGTTAGTTCAGGGTCTAATCAATTATGACATTTTACATTTGTACATCTGGTTAGACCTGCAGTCATGTTGAACACATGGATACCATTTAGGAGACAAGAGGCTGAAGTGCCTTCACTCAGTACCTCCTCCACTGCTGCAACCGCCCTACCCTAATCTCTCCCCTTACACACATACTGAGGTTAGAAGTGGCCTTAGGAGTCTGGTCTGTTCACAAGGGGATGGGGGTGGGGGAGAAAAGGGAAGCACATGAGAGGGAGGATTGCAAGAGAGATTGCCCAGGCTTCCCCAATGGAGGCTGAGAAGAGTGTTTTTTCTTCCTCTTTTGGGAAAACCAAGGGGATTTCTTGTGAGCCAGTGTGCATGTATGTGTGGGAGGGAATCAAAGCATGCCCTGGGCTGTGGCAGTGTAGGAGGGGGTAGCAATACAACTCCCCTCCCTCAACCCTCCCCAGTGAAGAAGAATGCGGGTGAACTAACCATTTGCCAATATATATAACCTCCCAACTCTTACTTCCAATCCATGATCTTCAGAGTCTCCTTTGTTGTCCCCAAATCACAATACCAGTTGACTTTAGTTAAGATCATAAACTGTTGAAGGTCCCACCAGTGATTTTGTTCTTAGCTCTTTTACTTCTTTCCTACCTGACCCCAATTTTCGTAAAGCTTGTCCTTTCCCATTTTTGAATTCAAAGCGGATACTTAAAGGTAAGTGCTAATGATTAACTTGTACTGATCACTTGCTTCTATCTGACTTTCTATATGACAACTGTAGTAATAGGAGTTCAAGAAGCCTAGAAGAATGGTCATTTGTTCCCTCCACCCGGGGTTTATAGTCTCCTAAAACAACAAACAACTATATGTGAGAATAAGAGAGGCAAAAGATGCATTTTCTGCTCATCTAACCCCGACATATGAAGATATTTCATGTTGGATTTCTCTGTTTCCAGTTACAATTCTCCTAGGCACTATGAGCAATAAAATAACATGGCAGTTATCATTTACAATATGCAAATGATTATGAATTCAAAAATGGGAAAGGACAAGCAGAGAAAGCTGACTTAGATAACAAGCATCCTGATTAATAAAATTAATTAAAGCTGCATGATTGACAGCTCAGAATATCAGCTTCAAATGTATTCATGTAGGACACTGTAAGTACCAAGCAAGCCAATTTGCTTTAGGTTGCCAAGGCTGAAAAGGTGGAATTATCAAACTGGGGGACCACTGAAGGGTCTTCCTGAGAGTTCAAACAGCATGTGAGGGAATTTTACGTGTGAGTGTTGAGTCTAGCCGTGACCGCAATGCTTGACTTGAGTCCGGCATTGTTGTCAGACGTCCTCAGGCTTCTCCGCTTCAAGGCAGTTCCAAGCTCAAAAAAGGGGTGTTTGCCTCACACCCCTTGACTGGAACTAAAGCCTCTTGCTCTCCCCTCATGCTGAGAGGGAGGGGCTCAAGGCCCCTATGAAGAGGGTAGGAACCCAGGAACAGTAGCTTGTGTCGGAGCAACTCCACACACGTCTACCCTCTTCGAGCTCTGGCGGCCATTTACATTTGTTTTTATAAAGCTGATGTAGAGCCTATTTAAATTCAAAATACTCAGATGGAGGGTACACTAATTCCGAAATCCTATAGGAATGAAACACAGCACGCAGTTGACTCTTCATTCTGTCGCATTCACTATTGAACCAGCCCTGCAGAGAGATTTTCTTTACTTGTTGTCATTGCTGTGGCATTGATTTCAGAGCCTCCGAAAGACACTTGACCACTTTATCATATCTCATAGGCCAGTCTACCGTCTGTTCCAAATCATTTAATAAAGGAATAGACTTTTCTAAAGTGAAGGAATCAAGAAGACCAGCAACCATTCGTGCTGCCTTATTGGACCATACGATCCTTGAATGCCTGGTTGATGCACTAAGACTCTCCACACCCAGCTGGGTGCCTTTATGGAGTAATGGGGGGAGTTCTAAAGTTAACAGTAAGGGGAAGTGATCGCTTTCAACCTGATCAAGTTTTGAGAATGCTCTAACATCATCTCTCAATGCTGGTGTAACCAGCATATAGTCTACTACACTACATCCACGAGGTGAAGCAAATGTGAACTCTCCCGGAAAATCATGGGGAGGTAAACCATTCAGGATAGTTAAATTGAACCTAAGGCATATCTGTGCTAAGCAAAGGCCAGCATCATTAAAAACTGAATCTCTAGACAGTCTCATCCTAGAAAAACAGGGAGGTATGGCATTACCAACTGAGAGATTAAGTCTCTCTACACTCTCTATTCCGTCCTTCCCTATTCTAGCATTAAAATCACCCGCCATGATAATGTTCAAGGTTGGGAATTTTTGTCCAAGATCTTCCAGATACTCAGAAAACTCCTCCCAATGGTCTAGTAAACATTTCTTACCAATACATACAGGCATATATACATTGATTATTACAAAGGATTTTTCATCCCATTTTAACACGCAGGCCTGAGCCATTTGGCACAATGCTGTAAAGGTAACATCTCTATATTGGAAGTGGTAGACCAAAGTATGGTAAGTCCAGCCTGGAATCTTCCAAATCACTGCAATCTAAAAGCCTCCAACGAATGTGATCTGAAGCCTTCTAAGGACACCTTCTCATGTGACCATGTTTCCTGGAGCAGGATGACATCAAACCTGGCTAGAAAACTTCTAAAAGTCAGGTCAGCCAATTTATTCTTCCAGCCAGCTATATTCCATGACAGGAGATTAAGATTGAGAGATGCAGACCCATTATCTAGTCAATCAGCTCTTGTTATCTGGTCCATTATTCCATCTGTCATGAACGATGCTACCATTCCTAATATCTTTAACAGTTGCCCCCAAATTGGATAGCTGGAGTTCTTTGGTTCCTAGAGAGAGATGAAGTAACCAAGCCAGAGGCCGGCTTATATCCCCGTAGCAAACCACACCCAAACACACACCCACAGCTGTGACAGGATATTTACAGTGCACCCAAGTCACATAGGTCAATTCTCAGATCCTAGCCATCCGATAGGTGCACCCTAGGATCCGTTTGGGCTATTGTCTCTGGAAGCGAAGCTTGGGCCATTCGCATGGCCATGTGCGGACCCAACCGTGTGCGTGGTTTCTCTAGGTACACAACAGTATCGCTAAAGACTGAAGGTATCCTCAGCATATCCGATATGCATAGACAAATGTTTTAAACAGTAAGGGGAGTTGGTGTCACTGCTACTGCTTTAGGTCATCTCTACATATGCAGTTAATTCTTAAGGAGAAAAAAAGATGGTTTGTCAGGTTTTAGCTGTCTGGAGGTAACCTGTGTTGGTCAGATCTTTAAATCAAAGCTGCCTGTAAACATCACCATCATCAATATATATAATTCTCAACATGGCCAAATCTAAATCCAGAGACTGGAAATATGAATGGACAAGACAGATCTTTCTCTAACTCTGAAAAATGTCCCAGGTTTTCAGAAAAATGGGTAATGTAGTTTGGCCTTCAGATAAAGGACTTTCACATCACCTGCTTCCTGATCCTTTTAACTTAAGATGCTGGGGAATTAATCTGGGACCTTCCGCATGCAAAGTAGGCACTCTACTTCTGAGCCACAGCCCACCCCTTTTATTTTGCTTTGACTTCACATACAGAGAAGTGTAGATCTACAAAGCTTGAATGCATAGTATGTTGAAGGCTAAAGAATACCACTTTGGCTCTATGACTTCTTCAGACACTCTTTTTTAGAAGCGCCGCAGAAATACTGATATGTTCCTTGTGGCAGCTGCCATTATGGCTGATCATATGAAGGAAATTCAGAAATTATGCAAAAAAGAACAGCAAGTGTTCTCTGTGCTGCTTCTAAAACAGTCTCACTATGCAAACTGAAATGTCCATGAAAAAAGACAGTCCATGAGATTCTGGAAGATCCCCGGGGCGCACTGACCCCAAACTGCAGCCGCCGCACCCGGAAACCACCCCTGTGTATCACGATAGTCTGAGCCTCTGCAGTGGCATCGCCTACAGGAAGCTGCTGGTACACCTGGGCCAAGTCCAGTTTTCTGAAAACCTTTGCCCCAGCTAAGGATGCCAGGACATGGCCGACCACCGGAACAGGATAAGCGTGGTCCTGCAAGGCCTTGTTAATAGTGCATTTGTAGTCTGCACAAATACAGACGTCCCCGCTGGACTTCACGGGAGTAACTATGGGGGATAGAAGACCCCATGTGCAACTCCATCTCGCAGGGCACCCCCTCAATATACACAGTTACTTTAAATTTGTCAGGGGTGTCCCGGGGCAAGTTCAATACCTGGTGTTGGTGAATGGCCATTGTGTGGAGTTCTGCTGATTCCTGGTGTACAGTGGAGTGATGTCTGGTCACTCAGGAGCAGCAGGCATGTGCTATGTGGCCGACCTTGCCGCAGGTCCAGCAGGTTGCGTTGCGGAACCGGCAGGACCATCGTTCATGGCCCTCGCTGCAACTGGCGTAGGGCACTTGAGCAGAGGGCTGCGCGGGGCATGCTCCAGTGGCAGCGGAAGGCTGCGAGTCACGGTGAGCTGGGCGATGGACCTGGTGCACTTCTTCCTCATCTGAGACATCAGAAACTGGTGAAGCTGAGGCCTGATTTACGGTGTGGGCCATGCGGTCGCATTGAGATTTCTCGAAAGCTGTGGCCTCTTGCATCACTTTATCTAGAGTCAGGTCCACGTGGCCGATGAGCTTACAGCGGAGCTTCTGTTCCCTGATGCCCGTGATGAATTGGTTAAGGAGGGTGTCTCCTAGGTCAGGGAATCCATAGTGGATGGCCAGCCTACAGAGTTCAGCCATGAAGTCGGTGGCTGCTTCTTCAGACTTTTGCTGGCGTGCAAAGAAGTCCATGCGCCTCGCCATCTTGGTCGGTTGAGGCACAAAATGGTTGGTGAGTGCCTTGACCAACTCATTGTAGGTGGCCTCATCCAAGGTCTTGGGTGCGATGAGGCTCTGGATGAGGCGTAAGGTGGTGTTGCCACAGGCGCTGAGCAGGAGCGATTTCTATTTGTCAGTGGTGTCGATGCCCTGGAACCTGACAAAGAATTTTAAGCAGTCCACCCAGGTTTCCCATAACTCAGGGTGAGTGGCATCAAACTCAGGAAGATGTCCCAGAGTGGCAGCCATGACCCTGGAAGCAATGCGACGCATGGAGGGCTGGGGCTCTTTGCGTGGTGTGGTGCTGGTGCCGGAGTCGGTGTCGGAGATCGGGTCAGGCTCACTCACCAGGATCCCACCTTCATCGCCAGTAAAATGTACCGAGTTCAGACACGTAGAATGATTAGCTCATGTTTATTAAGTGGTTTCAGCTCAAAACTAAGACAAACTTGCTGGGTCAGAGCCCTGCTTATATTCATGAAACACAGCACACCCAACACACATCCCATGATAGGCTATTTACAGAGTATTGTTTACCAATTGGATACTACTAGGATACGGATCTATCTATTGGTTCATTCTAGGATCCAAGCCTTCTATTGTGATGCGCTCCAAGCTACGCTATTCCGCATGTTCACTAGCTAGCCCTTTCGCAAGTACGGTTCCATCGCGATACATAACACAAACACAACTTCAAGACAACATCTTTATTTAATTTATGTATTTTATTTAATTCATTTGAATCCTGCCTTTCTCCCCAAAGAGGCTTATACCTCTCTCCTCTGTTTTATCCCCACAACAATCTTGTGAGGTAGATTAGGCTGAGAGAGTGTGACTGGCCCTCACTCACCCAGTGAGTGTCCGTGGCATGAGTGAGGATTTGAACCTGGGTCTCCCACATACTAGTCTGACACTCTTAACCACTCTGGCTAAGACTCTCTTCCTTTTTGACATCATTCCTTCACACGCTCAAGTAAGTGGACCTTAATTTCCCTTTTTCTTCTGTGTTCTTTTAATTTGTAATGTTCAGAGTTATTTTAGATGCATTCTTTCATAACCAAAGTAGACTTTTGAAATATAACTGTTGCATTGCTATCTGCTTAAGAAACACTGAACATGGGTGTGACAAGAGAGAGAGAGAGAGAGAGAGAGAGAGAGAGAGAGAGAGAGAGAGAGAGAGAGAGATGAGCAGGTGAATTTTTTTGTAGTATTTGCATATCATTGTCCCCCAATAGTCCACTTTCTGGGTTTCCCCCTGGTTTGCTGTGAGCTTCTCCAAAACCTCCTTCAAGCGTTGAATAGTTGACTGGACTGAGGAAAAATATAGGGATACTTTATACCACTTTATACCACAAATTGAGAGGAATTAGGAAATGTTTTTAAAAACACTTACTAGGTACTGGGGGCGGGGGGCTGTGGCTCAGTGGTAGAACATCTGCTTGGCATGCAGAACATCCAAGGTTCAATCCCCTGCATCTCCAGCTAAAAGGACCAAGTACTAGGGTGATGCGAAAGGCCTCTGCCTGAGGCTATGGAGAGCTGCTGCCAGTCTGAGAAGACAATACTGATTTGATGGACCAAGGGTCAGATTCAGTATAAGCTTCATGTGTTCATGTGTGTCATAAGAACATAAGAGATGCCAATGTTGGATCAGGCCAAAGGCCCATCCAGTCCAACACTCTGTGTCACACAGTGGCCAGAAATACCAGTGCCATCAGGAGGTCCACCAGTGGGGGCAGGATATTAGAAGCCATCCCACTGTTGACCCCCCCCACCATCCAGTCCAACACTCTGTGTCACACAGTGGCCAGAAATACCAGTGCCATCAGGAGGTCCACCAGTGGGGGCAGGATATTAGAAGCCATCCCACTGTTGACCCCCCCCAAGCACCAAGATGACAGAGCATCACTTGCCCCAGAGTCCCTATCTATACCTTGTAGCTAATAGCCACTGATGGACCTCTGCTCCATATGCTTATCTAATTCCCTTTTGAAGCCGTCCATGCTTGTAGCCGCCACCACTTCCTGTGGCAGTGAATTCCAAGTGTTAATCACTCTTTGGGTGAAGAAGTACTTCCTTTTATCTGTTCTAACCCGACCGCTC